AAATAATAGGTAATAGGTGATTGATAGAACACAGATCATAGATAATAAATGACAGGAGTAATAGTACAGGTGACAGGTGATAAATGATAGAAGCAATAGACATAGAGCCTGGCTCTGTACTGGGTGTCAGGGATGCAATGATGGGTTAATGTGCTCCCTTTAGCCAGTGAGACAGACAAGCACACAATTAATTAAAATTCAGTGTGACAAAAGCTATACTAGAGAGATACACAAATTGCTGTTGGAGCACAGAGATCAAGAGGATTAATTCAGCTCAAAAAGGATATAGGGAAAGATGTAGAAGAGACAATGCTATAAGAATGACCATTTCAACTGAGTGTCCTGAAAAATATAAAGAAAATAACCAAGGACTAGGTACAGGGAAGAGCATTCCAGGCACAAAAAAAAAATGGACAGAGATATAGCAGGCAAGTGTGAGTGAAAAATAAAAAGGCCCAAAAGAGAATTCCAGTAAGACAGAATAAGTCTAAAACAAATCAGGCCAAGAAGGTTCCTAGTGCATGTAAAACTGCAGGATCTGGAAAAATCCTCTGAGCTAGAAATAGGCTGATGGATGCTTTGTAGAAAATACGTAGTTTCAAGATAATATTTCTAAATTGAAGGCTGGGAAAATGGAGCAGCCATTCAGAGAAAGGGGGTGGCTAAGTTAAAAGTGATATGGAAAGAATATGGTGATGGATGGTGGGTGGATGGATGGATGGATGGATGATTAGATTCAGTACCTTGCTTATTCTTTTTATTAAATTAGCTAAATTGAAGTGGTAAGGGAGTAAATGCTAGTTGCCAGTGGATGGGTCAGCATGCATAATGGCAGGAAGGAGGCAATTGAATAGTTAAATGCAGACAATGGATAACTCTGATATTGGAGAGGAATCTACTCATCTGTAAGATCTGAGGAAAATGAAAACTCTCAGACTGATATAGAGATAATTTCTCACCGGCAGGAGACAGATAGATCCTGTTAATAATAACAGTGGTGATGGTAAAAGTTTACATTTGAAGACATTTTGTTTGTTTGTTTGTTTTTGTTTTTGGTACTGGAGCTTGAACTCAGGGCCTCACGTTCTCACTTAGCTTTTACCACTCAATGCTGGCACTATACCACTTGAGCCACAGCTCCATTTCCAGGATTTTGCTAGCTAATTAGAGATAAGTGTTTCTTGGATTTGTCTGCCTGGGTAGCCATCAAACCATGATTCTGGGCTGGGAAGGTGGCTCAGTGGTAGAGTGCTTGCCTTGCATGCATGAGGCCCTGGGTTTGATTCCTCAGCACCACATAAGCAAAAAGAAAAAAAGCCGGAAGTGGCGCTGTGGCTCAAGTGGTAGAGCGCTAGCCTTGAGCTGAAGAGCTGATGGACAGTGCCCAGGCCCAGAGTTCAGGTCCCACGAACGGACAAAAAAAAAACAAAAAACAAAAAACATGATTCTCAGATCTCAGCTTCCTGAGTAGTTAGGATTACAGGCATGAGAAGATAACTCTTAAACAACTACACACTTGTTTTACTTCTTTGAAAATTTCCAAGGATGTTGAAACTCAAGCGGAATCCCTTTAGTCATCTCATTAAAGTTGTTCAACCATGGTGACACATTAGCCTAACTCTAATTCAACACATTTGGTTCACTCCTGACGTAAGTAAAGGGTGAGCCTCCATTTTCTCCATCTGTCCAAAAATCTTCCCATCTTAGAAAATTTCCAAGACTGAGGTTGAACTGGTCAGGGCACCCAAGGACTATGCCCTGGAAAAGCAAACCCACAACTCAACCCACACTGTTCCTGCAGAGTTCAAATCTCCCTGTGCCCATCCTGTGCCAGCTCAGGCGCCTTCCCCTCTCCACTCTTCACACATTCCCAGTTCTCCTGGCCTAATTGGAAAACATTCCTGTCTCCTCCATCCAGAAGAAATAAAGTTAGCTGTGGGACCTTAATCAAGTCAAGAACTTCTTTGGTCCTCAATTTCTTTGCCTATAAAACAGATTTAATAATCCCAGTGCTTTTATGAGTATGAAATGAAGTGCAAACTATCACTCACTTCTATATTTGTTAAACGTAAATAATTATCTTATGCTGGTTTTTAATTTTCTTTGTGTCCCTCACAGCAAAACATTTAAAAACTTACAGGTATGGTGGTTCACAGCTGTAGTCCTAGATAGTTAGATGATAGAAGCAGGAAGAACAGTTGAAGCTAGAAGCTGAAGACTAGCCTGAACAACATAAAAAGACCCTGACTGAAAAAAAAAAAACTTTCTTAACGCTTCACATTTAAAAAGTAAAAGGGGGTGGGGGGGGAGAGAGAGACAGAGACAGAGAGAGAGGGAGAGAGAGACTGGGATTTAGCTCAGTGGTAGACCACTTACCTAGCATGTTTGAGGCTCCATCTCTAGCACCACAAAAATAATAATTACAATGTTTCACAGTAAATAAGAATTACTTATTTTTAGCCTGGTTACTGGTGGCTCTTTCCTATTATCCTAGCTACTCAGAAGGCTGTGATCTAAGGATGGTAACTCAAAGCCAGCCCTAAGCTAAAAAGCCTGTGAGTCTCTTATCTCCAGTTAATCAGAAAAAAATGAGAAATGGACTGTGATGCAAGTGGTAGAGCACCAGCCCTGAGCAGAAAAAAGCCAAGGGAGAGTGGAGGGGCCCTGAGTTCAAGCCCAAATACACACACACACACACACACACACACACACACACACACACAGAATTATTTAATAAGTTAGGAAAGCAAAGTTTGAAAAAATAAATTATACTTAGGGATTGAAAAAAGAAAGCTAAGACTTAAAATTGTAAATTTCTTGTTTTGCTATGAGTGTGAGGCCAGACTAGCCTAGACTAGCCTCAAACTGGCAATCCTCCTGCCTCAGCCTCCTGAGTATTGGGATCACAGGTGTATGCCACCACCCCTGGCTGGTATTCTGGCTGCACAGTTACTATGGGCATTCTTCCGAACAAGTATTAACTCATATCAGACTCCTGTTCGATAGACAGAGAAAAATGCCCAAATGTTAAATGAGGCACTTAAGGCCACAAAGCTGACAAGCCACAGAATTAGGATTTGAACCCAGACAGCACACTACTCTGGCCATGGGACCAGGTGCCTATAGCTGCTCAGACACTCAGGCCTGTGAGTTGCAAGTCTGAAGATGAATTGAAAGGATATGGATGCCTCCCTGAAGGTTACAAACCTCCTCTAGGACCACCCAGGGCAGGAACCAGGCCACACTCAGTTCTCCACAGACACCCTGCTTCCTTTGCTCCCCAACTCCCAAAGCCTGTCACCACTTACAGGACTTTCAAAGCCCCAGCTTTTCTCCTGTCAGCCCTCCAGCCCTGCCAGTCCTGCATTTTATACCTTCAGCTTTTTACTGGCTCTTGACAAGTGGAAAAAGTATCATTCTCAGGACGTGTGTGTGTGTGTGAGTGCGCGCGTGTGTGTGTGTGTACTTCCTTGCCCACAGGAATAAGCTGACATGCTTGGCCTTCCCCCCCAACACCTAGTTGCATAACACCAGAAGAGACAAGAAGCTGGACAGACACACAGGAGGGAGCTACAGCCTCCTGCCCAGCCACCCCCACCGCGGCATGGGCCACACAGCCCTCTGCGGCCCCATCCTTCCCCCTCTCCTTCTGCAGGGAATTACTGTTGTGGCCTCAAACCCAACCTGGAAAATGTAGCATTCCTGCCCACCTTCCAACCTCATCGCCCACAACTCCCTGGCACAAGCCCTTTTTTCCAGACAAACCCGGCTCCTCATTGATCTCAACACATGTTTCATGCTTTCCTACCTCTGTGCCTTTGCCCACATGGCTTTGCCCCCAGGAATGCCCTCCCTCTCCTCTCCCTGAATCTAAACCTACCATCTTCTGAGGTCCTAGTGGAAAACAAGCACCTGACTAAAAACCCTACTATGTGGTGCCAGGTTCTAAGACAGAGTAGGCCAGGTAAAGTCCCTACTCTGAAAATAATCACTGAAAAGTGAGTACATTAATTGCAAATGGTGACTAGCTTCCTTATTCCTCTTGCCTCTGCCTATGGCCCACTGCTTGGGCCATAGGCAGGGCCTACACAAAGCAGCCCCCACACCCATCTCCATTCTAATTCTCTAAGGCCTTTCACCAAGTCCACCACCACCCCTCCTGGAAAACTTCCAGAACCCCCTGTCTTCAAAACTTAGCCCCACTGGGTCACATGGACTCTTCCTGAGCACTCCTGAACTGGAAATTACTGACTACCATACTGATCCCTCAATATCGGGGGCTCTGACCTCCCTCCTTCCCTTGTCCCAGTGTGTCCACAAAGGTCATCATGTGTGCACATCACAGGAAGGCTGGGGAGCGCCACAATGTCTGCAGGGCACTTTTGAAGTTGTGCCACACTGCTGACCAAGCCTGCAACATCTCAGTGAATACTTCATAGATCAAGAAGTTTCTGCCAGCCACCCATTGGTGCCTGTAATTCTAGATACTCAGGAGGCTGAGATCTAAAGACCAGGGTTCAAAAACCGTCCAGGTAGGAAAGTCCTTGAGCCTTATCTCCAGTTAACCACCAAAAATTTGAAAGTAATCTGTGGCTCAAGTAGTAGAGCACCAGCCTTGAGCAAAGAAAGCTAAGAACAGAGCCCAGGCCCTGAGTTCAAGCCCTAGGACGAAAAAGAAATTTGTGTTAAGCAGTGTCATTCCTATAGTTCAAGTCTATTATCATATATATATATATATATATATATATATATTCCTATATGTCTTGCTATCTATCTATCTATTTATATAGATAGATAGACAGACAAAATGATAAAGCAGACAGACCCAGTTTCAACCAGCAAAAATCATTTCCTGGGCTGGGTGTATATCTCAGCAGCAGAATGCCTACCTAGCACATGAAAGCCCTGGGTTCTATCCTAAACACCACAGATCATCTCTTCATTTACTGTCCCTAAAACCACCCATTCAAGAACTGGAATGACAAAAAAAAAAATGTTCCCCATGTCTCCCCATTCACAATACAGAGCAGACACAGGGTCTGTGCCAAGGTCTATATGGGGTAGATTTACTCTTCCTCCTCTTTCTATACAGTCAGTGTGAGAACACAACCTGTGATAAGCACCAGAGGCAGACAAAAAAAAAATTTTCACAAACAACTATTAGTCAAAATAACTTGAAAAGACAAGAAAATTCAAGTGAGGGAAAGGGGTGGGATCAGTTGTAGGCAATGTCCTTTGTAGAGAACATTTAGAAGGAGGACAAAGCTAAGTCAAGCTCTGTTAATTCTGACAAGCACTGAGGAAGGAGAAAATAATGACAAGCTAAGCAGAGATGTGGTTGTGTCTTAAATTCTTGGGCAAATTATTTAGCTTTCTTGTGGTATTAGCTCCATAGAAGTTACTAATAGGCCTGTTTTCAAAAAGGATGATGAGGGATATGAATTGGTAGACGTGAGAAGGGCTTTTAGTATTGCATGGAATGGAGACATTCTTTTTTCTAGACACTCCATCATATTCTCCTACAACGATCCTACCAGATGACGCACAGGCAGCTAGAGGTGATGGTACCTTTGGGGCACCAGTAACCATCTGTTGAGGATGATCTGCTCCACCTACCCAACTACTTTAGAAACCATTTTGCTAGGTAGCAGAGCACTTGGCCCCACACCAGGAAGGCAGGTATCAGCTAGGAGATAATGGCTCACACCTATAATCCTAGCTACAGAGGAGGCTGAAATCCTAGGATCTTGGTTCAAAGCTAAACCATAGCCAGGTGCTGATGGCTCACACCTATAATCCTAGCTACTCAGGAGGCTGAGATATGAGGATCACTGTTCAAAGCCAGCCCAGGTAGGAAAGTCCATGAGACTCTTATCTCCAATTAACCACCAGAAAACTGGAAGTGGCACTGTGGTGGTAGAACACTGGCCTTAAGCAAAAAAGCTAAGAGACAGTGTGCCCATACCCTTATACCCTTATTTCAAGCCCAGTACTTGGGGGAGAGGGAGAGAGGGGATGGGGAGGGAGAGAGAGAGAGAGAGAGATCCGCAGAATTCTTATTAAAGAACTCATATACTCTGGGGACCATTAACTGACTCAAGTCTAGAGAATGGGCTGCTGGAAAACTTACCTCTTCAGACCCACTAGTGACCTCCTTCCTCAAGTAGATCTGGCAGAAAAAACTCAGTGTAGGAGGGAGCTAGTAGCTGTCAGAGCAATGTGTATTAGTTATCATTCCATTACTGTAACAAAGATCTGAGATAATTAACTTAGAAAGAGAAAAAATGTATCTTAAATGACAAGATAAAGCTTTGGTTTTGGCCTGTGGCCAGACAGCACATCCTGGTATGGAGTTTGTAACTGAGGAAAACTGCTCACCTTAAGGCCAGGAATTGAAAAAGAAAGAGGAAAGGGTGGAGTCCCACTATCCCCTGAATGGTATACTTGAAGATTTCCCTCTAGTCCTCATCCCACAAACTTTCCACCACCTTCCAAAAGCGTAAAGCTGAAGACCAAGCTTTTAACACACGGGTCTTCGGGAGTCATTCCAGATCCACCCTGGAGCATAACCCAATCACAAGATCTTGTAATAACTTTCCATAGAAGTGTAGGAGCAGACACTTGTTATATCATACCACCATCTTTCCAGCTCTTCTGAATAAAAAATGAACACCTCACAGATAGGGCTCACTAGGTAATCAAAATACCAGTGCAAGTGATATATCTAACCCTCTCTCACAAAATGAAGTGGATCTCAAAACAGTGAAGCCAGGGAAAGAAAAATTTTTAATTAATTGTCGAACCTAAATGGTGGGTAAATAAGGGATTCATTGTACAGTTCCTTCTGTGTATGGAAGGGTGGGAATAAGGGAAGAGGGAGGGATAGCGAGGAAGGAAGGGAGGAAGGAAGGAAGGAAGGAAGGAAGGAAGGAAGGAAGGAAGGAAGGAAGGAAGGAAGGAAGGAAGGAAGGAAGGAAGGAAGGAAGGAAAGAAGAAGGAGGGAGGGATGGAGGGAGGAAGGAAGGAAGGAAGGAAGGAAGGAAGGAAGGAAGGAAGGAAGGAAGGAAGGAAGGAGGGAGGGACGGAGGGAGGGAGGGAGGGAGGGAGAAAGGAAGGGAGGGAGGGAGGGAGGGAAGAAAGGGAGGGAGGGAAGGGAAGGGGAAGGGAAGGGGAGGGAAGGGGAGGGAAGGGGAGGGGAGGAAAGGGGAGGGAAGGGAAGGGAAGGGAAGGGAAGGGAAGGGAAGGGAAGGGAAGGGAAGGGAAGGGAAGGGAAAACACTAGTAAGAGGAAAAGGAGGAAGAGGAGGAGGAGATGACTATGGGGATGGGGGAGAGAAAGCAAGGAAGGCAGAGCAGGAAGGGAGTATGTTTTCAAGGACCTGAATTAGGTCTCTGGCCAGCTCCAACACATCCCAGCTATGGGCTGTGGGAAGCACTCACTACTCTCTGGGTATCTATTTCTCCTCCCTCCTTGAATTACGAAACTTCCCTTATAGGGTTAAGCCTATAATTAATTAACAGATGTTCACTAATTGGCACATAGTAGGCATTCAAGAAATCCTGACTATACTTTATAAAATACTTGTAGCTTTCAAAATAGAGATGCTTGGGAGATTCCTCACTTTACAAAAGAATTCACCACAGGGTCCCTTTAAGCCCTCAGCCCTGTGAGTGCATTTTAAATGGGATTGGGTTTGTAGAAATCCATTTACACATGACTTTTGTAAAATGCAGCCAAGGTACTAATGAAGGCAGGCAGGTCTCCAGCAAGAGCTCCCTGGGCATGCTCTCTCAGTCTTAGATCCTGTCCAGCAGGATTCTCTGAAAAACTGGAGCCTAAAAATTCTTCTCTGAAAACCCACAAAGACCCACTGGCTGCCCTCTGGGAAGTCTTTTTCCATGCATATTTGGGAAGGGCTGTGGTGTCTCTAGCTAGGGATTCAGGCTTATTGAGGACAATAGCAATAGCAATAGGCGAGCAATATTAGCTGACGTTTATTGAGGGCTTCCTGTGTGAGAGGCACTGTGTTAATTCCCACCCATTATCCTGCACAAGGCAAGAGAAGCTACTGTCTGTCTAACTACAAGTGCTTGCAGATGAAAGACATTCTCCTAATTCCTGATGAAAAATCTCACAGGGTATTATCATCCATACTGTTCTTCACAGACAGAAACAGTGGCACAGAGTAGGCAAATCATTTATCTGAAAATCACCCAGCTAGAAAAGATGTGTTATTTAGAACAGGACTAGTTCTGAAGCTCACTCCCATTACCGACTCTCCATCCATATCTCCTCCCCACTAGCCCCAGATCCAGCCAGAGGCAGGACTACAGAGCAGAGGGTCCCTGGGGAGGCACTGCTCCTCCCTCTCCCCCCCTCCCCATTTCACTTAGCCCTCCACAAGCTGTTGTCAATTGCACTGAAGTATTTACAGCAACCAGCGAGACCGCTGACACCTCTACCCACGTGGGCTATAATTTGATGCTCAAGTTGTTAAACAGCCGCTTTCCAGCATGAGCTCTTCATACATGAGTGTTCCCTCCCCGCCCCCCAAGAGCCAGGCTGGCTGTCTCTCCACTGCTCCCAATGCATGCATACCTCTCCTGGTGGGCCCAGGCAGGCATGTGCACATGTGTATACAACAAATACACCGTGACCTGTGAACACCACAGGCATGCACACACGAGCATGCATATGCATGCTCGCACACACACACACACAAACACACACACTCATAATTACACACCCAGTCATCATCACAAAATCATCCCAGTTCCCTGTTGAAGACACACTTGCCAATACATAAGGATCCCAGACTCTGACCATCGTCACTCCATTCATACACCTGTGCCATCCACCATGAGACACCTCTAGGGAATGGCTAGGGAAATTTCCTTTGAGGCAGTAGTCACACATGACTGATCAACAATACTCACTCTGAATATATTTGTTCCCAGGAAATATACTTTCCCCATCTATTAATTAGTTGATAATTATCCACATGCTCAACTCTGCTCTAAGGAAACCAAGTTTTTCATATAGTTGTGCTAAATGCAGCCAACCTCTGGATGTGTCTGTATTTGGACTCCCATGCTGGTGTTTCTCCCAGAGCCCCACCCCATGGATGGTGTACATGGTAGAATGGGTGGGAGCAGAGAGCCAGTGTGTGATCACACACTAGCACATCCGCGCCTCTGTGTGTATTTGTACAAAGCAGGCTGAGCACTTGCTGGCCCTCTCCCCAGGGAGTGTCTGCAGAGTAGGTCTGCTTTCCTAATAACTATCCAAGAGCAAACATACCCCACATCCCAGAAACCTGATCAGCATGCCCTCTCCATTAATGAGCAATGGGGATGCAGGGGTGGAAAGAAAAGAAGGAGCAAAGGATAAGGGAGGGAAAAGATGAGGGCAGGGGTCATTCGGGCTAAAGAAGAAACTGCAACCCATCTATCTGCCCAGGACAGAGGAGATTCAGGGATTCTGCTCACCAGTAACCAGGGGAGGTGACCTGATGCATGGAAAGCTTGACCCATTGTGTGTCTAAGGGGCATTCAGATTTGTAGCCTTTCTGGGGCCCTCCTAGGTATGAGAACAGTGACCACACTAAGTCCCTCTTCAGAGGTGCTTCAGGGGCTATACATGGGAGCCTTCATGATGCAGGCTTCTTCTTGAAAAAGCTCACACAGAACTGCCCTCCTATGGAGATTTTGGCTTGCTGCTCATAAGAAAATTAGAGCTAGACACAGCTAAGACAGAAAGACAAACTGGGAAGGAAAGGGTAGGGAGAGAAGAAAGGAGGAGAAAAAGAAGACCTAGGTAGGATGGATGAGTAGACAGAGGTGTAAGGAGATCAATTCAGGTCTCAGTAGAGATAAAGGACAGGAACTAGCCAGGCACAGTGGCCATTTATAATCACAACACTTGGAAGACTAAAGCAGGAAGGTCATGTGTTTGAGGCCAGCCCGGGCCACATAGTGAGACTCTATCTCAAACAAAGCAAAAAGAGTAATCCAAACATTTATGAGCTATGCATGTAGTTTAGTGGTGGGGCATTTTTCTGGCATGCATGAGACTATGAGTTTGATTCCCAGCACTACAAATTTTAAAATATTTTTTAAAGGACGAAAAGAAA